AGGTCAGACATAGTAGGCTCTTGAGTGCTAACATTTCCTTGAGAAGGTTGTTGTTGAGGCTGCTTATTGAATCTTGAAGGAGCATGATAAGAGGCTCCTTGCTGATTGAATGGAGGCCTTGCAACATATTACTGAGGTTGAGGGTTCAGAGGATGTGACCCCTGCTGTTGTGGTTGAGGATTTTGAACATTGTTGCTTCGATAGGAAAGGTAGGGATGATTCCTCAAACCCAGATTGTATGTGTTAAAATATGGGTCATTTAGTTGCCTTTGTTGAAATGCATTCACTTGATCCATCTGATTAATTAGTGTCTTGAGAATTCTAAGCACATTGATATCCAAAGTGACCCTGTATACCACATAATTCACAAAAAAAATTAGTTTGGAGAGGTTGAGAATACATAGCATTAACATATACAAGAGAGGAGTCTTGAGTGGCATGTAATGCATCAATCTTTGTAGTTAATTGAGCCATCTGAGATGTCGAGATTGAATAGGCTTCAACTTCCATCTTCCCTTTCTTAGCTCGCGTCCTTGAAGATGAGAAACGGTTGGCTGCAAGATTAGTAAGAAAAGCATACCCTTCTTCGATTGTTTTGTCAAGGAACATACCACTTGATGCTGAGTCAACAGTATATTTGATCTCGGGTTCTAATCTGTTATAGAAGATACGAACAAGATTCCACTGCTCAAAGTTATAGAAGATACAAAAAAGATTCCACCTGCTGCCGAGTCAACAATACATTAGATAGTGCACGGTGTCTGTTGTTAGTACAGACTTAGCAAATACGGGTCGAATCCCATAGAGAGATAGGTTCTATTACTTTTTGCCCAATTATTATAAACTATTTCAATAAACGAATTAATTAACTAAACTAGGACAATATTGAAAATAAGGTTGTTCTCAAATAAATAAAGGTCTAGGGCGTACGTTCGGTCCACCAAGCTTATACCAATCCAAGAAATGTAAATAATTTATTAATAAATAAACTAGGTCGAATAATTAAAGCACTTGTTAATCCTACGGTCGGGAATTAACACTTACGAATGAACATATGTAGTTCGGTCGCTGACATAATCAAGTTCGCCAATTGTAATTAAGCCTCTAAAAATATGATCTTCCAATTCTAATTTTTATTAGCTAAATAGTCAACTCATGATACTGGCCAATTACATGAATCAAACAATAAAGCACAAATCAATTGGAATCATTCAAACCCTAATTCATGAATTTATAAATAAATAAGTACAAATAATCAAGGTATAAACATGGCTTCCCTCACTTAGCCCTAGAAAACGACTACTCACTCATAATTGAAATAAACAAAACAAAAGAGATAAATAAACTAGAATTCATAATTAATAAAATAAAAGAACGAAAGATTAAATGAAATACCTCGACAATTGAATTCATGAAGAGCGATAAACTAAGGTTCAACAATGGAGAGAAAAACTAAAGAAGCGTTCTATCTAGAAAATAATGCATAAGCAGAAAAATTATAACTCTCAAGTATTTATATTCAAGCCTAATCCAAAGTGAAATAAAATAAATAAATAAAATAAGGAAATAAAAATAACAAAAGCCATCTTATGATTGGTCGCTCGGAAAATCAAAGTCGATGGAAGACAAATAGCATGATGTTCCGCACGCCAAACCCATCGCCCGATGGGTGGGCGCTGGTCGACCATAAAGGATGCTTGCCCATCGGGCGATGGAAAACCAGTAGCCAGATCAGATCCGAGAGCTCGTGTGTGCAGAAGACCATCGCCCAATGGTTGGGCGCTGGATCGGCAGATTTGCAGCACTAACTTTGAAAGGCTGTAACTCAGGATCTAGGAATCGTATGAAAGCGTGCAACCTATCGTTGGAAAGATTTTTAAGTCTAGTTTCCAACACAACTTGAATTACCTCAATCCGATCTTTAGAACTCGAGTTATGGCTGAAACAGTGCACAAGGGTCCTTTTTGCCTCATCATGACCCCTCGTAGATGTTATGTTCATATTCCGTGTACACACTAATCAAACTTGACGTCTACGAGCACAAAATCCTCGATCAACAAACTTAATTCATCGGCTTCTATCCAACTATCATCCGAACGAACTCTAAACCCTTCGAAAGGGTCCAAATGACTATGAAATCACCTAAAACATTAAGATAAACACAAACGGAGCGTAATAAAGTGATATATGATGACTTATGCACATATAACCCTAAAATCGACCAAAAAGACTAAGAATAAGATATAAAACTAGCATAAACGTGCCACAAAATCCTATAAAAATATGATTCATCAATGATGTACATTTGAGACTGTAAATTTTAAAGCGTGAAGAATAAAAATGAACAGAGGGAGTATTAAATTGTCAATATAAGCTACTCTATAGTCTATATTAAATTATTAATATTAGATATTTATAAAGTCAACATAGGCATTTAAATTTTTGATATAAGTTATTAAATTATTGCTTTAAGGGGCTATTAAATTCTCAATTTATTCTACTAAAATTTCGATAAAAGGAACATACTAAAATTTCGATAGAGGCTACAAAATTGTCACTATAAGCAATTGAATCAATTGGAGCTGATCCAGGTTTCTCAAGCGACAAAATAGTCATTTGCAGTATAAAGTGAGGCTACTTTTGTAATTAGGTTTGAAGGTTGAAGTTAACTATAGTTAGCTCCTTCATCCTTCTTCTACTTGGTTCTTCTTCCTTCAACCCCCACGGAACTTCATTTTTGTTTTCCTTCTCCGATCTCCACCCACCAATGCCGATACTAACACCATTATTTCTGACACCAGCACCATCTTAGTCTCCACCGACATGGATACCACCATCTTCTCGTGTTTATAGACGTGTGTAATGTCAAGACGATTTAAGCTAGCTTACTATAACACATAAAGAACTTGCTTATGAAACAACTAGCGGAACAAAAATTTGAGTGATTGTTCTTTCTCCAAGGGATGTAAACTTCAATATTCCATCAGACAAGATCTTGGCTGTTGCCTCCAAAACAAAACCCGCAAAAGAAGGAAACGTTTTGCGTGAGACTAGACTCATCGTGAGTCCAATTCATCTTACATTAATAATCTAATATCTAATATTAGTAATTTAAAATTTGACATTAGTAATTTAATATCTGACATTAATAATCTAATATCTAACATTAGTAATCTAATATTTATAATATATCTGACATTAATAATCAAATATCTAACATTAGTAATCTAATATCTGACATTAATAATCTAATACTCCCTCTGTTTCATAGTGTTAGTCCCATATACTATTTTGGGCGTTTCAAAAAGATCTATCCATATTGAATATATTCCATTTTTAACTTACTAATTTTTTTGGAATTAATTGATTGTGGATTGATGACATGTCTCTAAGTAAGGAAATCTCTACCTTTAATTATGCATTATGACTTATGCTTTCCCAAAAAAAAAAAAAAAATCAAAAAACCTAAATAAAGTAAATTAATTATGTATTATTTTGTACTTTAATGTTAGATTCCAAATATTGTTCTTTTCTTATTTTATGTGATTGATTTCATATGAGACTAAAATTATGAAACGGAGGGAGTATCTAACAAGAGAAATCTAATATCTTACATTAATAATCAAATATCTAGCATTGATAATCTAATATCTAACGTTGATAATATAATATCTGACATTGATAAATACCCAATTCCTGTACCCAATTAACACTCCACTCAAATTCCCCAATCTGATCAATACACCAACAAATTAACCAATTCCAATTTACAAATACAATCAAATCAACAAGAATTCAAGAAAGATTAGAATATATTTATTTTTTTTATACCTTCAATAGTGCGCTGAGAGGGGTCCATCTCCTTAGGGGATTTACGGACTTTGGATCGAATGAGGCGTTTTTGCTTGAAAATGGAGTCCAGATCAGTAGCAACAACATCGCCGGAAGTGCCGAGGAGAGAGAGGAAGGAGGAGGCTGTGCAAGGCGGCGACACGGGCTGAGAAAGCGGAAGTGGATGGTGGAAGAAGGTAGCGGAAGGGGTGTGTATTTGTGTAGGCAGACTCACAGTGAATCCTTTCTACACAATTTTTTTCCGGGAAAAGAAAGTTGTATCTATGCACAATTGAATCGTCACTCGCAGATTTGTAGAGGAAGTGTAGCAGAACACAAGGAAGAGCAAAATATGCTGTCATGTAACCTAGGCTTGCATTAGCAACATGACCATACTCGGAGTACTTTTTACTAAGCGGTGAATCAGCAACAGTCCAAGGTTCATGATACTAGCAGATCTTGGGACCTTGAAAATTGAATAGATTAGTCACTTTCCCTCGTAACTCAGCTTGTATAGTGCTATCCCTTCCAATCGGGGAGCTGAAATTCAACATTGGTAAAATTCCTTTCCCCAATTTATTGTTGTGATTCCCTTTGAAATCATCATATAAAACCAGACAAATTATACTTCATTAATTCTTCACCTTAAATTCAACTTCAAGTATCAGATCCTTCGAACAAAAGACCTGATTTCCTGACTTTCCTCCTATAATCACGATCTGAAATACTAAGGTTGGAACTTCAGCTTCAAGACACTTCTCCAAATGGTCCTCTGTATACCTTTTCAACACCTTCTGCTTAAATTATTCGGCACTAAGAAACCTCATGGTTAACCCTTCTTTGTTTCCTGATTTCCTGACTTTCCTCCTAAAATCAGGAAGGGCTATCACACACTCCCGCCCCAACCCCAAAATGGATGTCACCTTTAATTTTCAGGTACTCCCTAAACAGCAAGATAGTATTTGAATCAGAAAAGATCGCAATATACAATCCACTACAACACCAAGGCGGAATATTATTTACGCTCATAATACACAAGCCACCCTTGAAGCACCTGCAGATACAAAATACAATCCACAATAACACATGCAAAATTTTCACCACGCCAGAACTAAATCTAGGAACATTTAGAGTTACCACAACTAAACCTATTAATGATCCTTCATGCCTTCAGCAACTGTTTGTAATAAGAATGTTTTCTAAGATAAATCAAGGTTTCACTGCACAACTGAAAGTTATGTACATAGCACAATCATGAATAACACCTGAAAGATATTCTCATAACTAAAATCAAATGAATTTTTCAGGTGAAAACACATGGATTTGGAAAATATAAAAGGACCTAAATTCATATATAGTGACACGGAAGTTGGTGTGCAAACACTGGTATATGAGTATATATTCATTCTGGGGCTTACAGGTTTCTACCACAACGATCACATACATCAGCTTTCATTGAATTAACATGTTCAGGCTTTTCCTTTAGCATCTTTGGTAGATCAAACTCAAACACTTCAGATAGTGCCTTGGTTCCAAGTTTAAGCTCATCCATACTGCATGTGTAAATTGTATATTAGGCAACAGCCTGGCAATACCAATATATTGGAAAAAAAAAATAAAAAAAATAAAAAAATAAAAAAAATAACAAGGATAGCAACCCTTGACAAAAAAGAGAACTACGATAGCAGGGTATGCATAACTACGTAGTATAACAAAATAAAAGACAGTATATACAATTTCCATAACAATATACAAAGATGAAAATACAAAAATCTATAACAATAGCCTAAATGGAAGGCTAAACAAATTTCTAATGTAAAGTGTATAAACAATTGAGCACATCATATAATTAGTTGAAATAGCCTAGCAACCAAACTATTAGAGCACATCCCAAAGGCTGCAGCAAAGTAGCAAATCATAGGTGCATCTAATATCTCACCAAGGTTATTGATATCTTTAACTGCCAGATGTCAGAAATGACCTACTCCTTTCATTCAATTGATTAATGCGATAGGAGCATAGGAAAAATATGTATGGCTATTTCTTTTGGGATTCTTCTATTCTTATTTTAAGCTGCTATTTCCAAAAATAGTCTCAAGAATATTTTTAATTAATTTTTTTTGATCTAGGCTATGCTCTAGTTTGACAACAAATATCTTTAATTGTGTGTTGATTAAAATTATAAAAAGTTAGGGGCCGTTTGGTTCGCAAAGTGGAATCGAATGGAATGGGGAAAGGGTATGGAGGAGAATGGAATGAAACCCTTGAAATTTAGGGTGTTGTTTGTTAAAAAAAAAAAACAAAGGGAATGATTCCATGGAACCACCACCACAGCACCACCATTTTAGTGTATTATTTTGACCTTTTTTTTTTCCAGAAATTGGTAGTTTAGAATTCCGGCGGCGACCAGCGAGGTTGGAGTGCCGACGAAGGTGGAGCGAGGTCGGGGGAGGTGCAACGAGGTGGAGGGAGTGCCGGCGAAGGTGGAGCGAAGTCGGGGAGGTGCAGCGAGGTCGAGGGAGTGCCGGCGAAGGTCGGGGATCGCCGGCGAAGGTAAAGCGAAGGTTGAGGGAGTGTCGGCGAAGGTGGAGCGAGGTCGAGGGACTGCCGGCGAAGGTGGAGCGAAGGTCGGGGATCGCCGGCGAAGGTGGAGCGAAGGTCGGGGATCGCCGGCAAAGGTGGAGCCAAGGTCAGGGAGAGCCGGCGACCATTCGGCGAGGTTGGTGGGATGTGGGTATGGTGGTGGTTGGGGAAAGGGAATGGTAAAGGTAGGGGGGTGGGGAATGGGGGTGGAATAAAAATGGGTAAACCCAAAAATAAAAATGGAGAAAGGGAATGACAAAAGTTGCAAAACAAACGCTTACAAGGGAATCATTCCCATTCCCTTTCCTCATTACAGCGAACCAAACGGCCCCTTAATATTTTAAAAATAAATATTAGACGTTTCCAACAAGATCTCACTTGAATATATTTTCTTGTACTCCCTCCATCCCTTTTTTTGCCCCATTTGACTTTTCACGGTGTTCAAGGCGCGTCTTAAAACGTATATATCTTCATTTCCGTACACGTAAAACATAAAAAATATAAAAACGTGATATTAATAAAATATACAATGAGAATAATCTAACAAGATCCCACATGAGTATATTATCTCGTACATATTAACAGTAATTTATGGTCAAAATTTTCAAAGTATGACCCAAAAAATGCCAATGAGGCAAAAATATAGGGACATATGGAGTATATGATACTGTAAATCGTGGTTGAAGTTTTTAAACTTATGACATTCAAAACAGAATTAGTGCATCTTTTGTGTCACTAGGAAGTATATCAGAATGAAAAGGTGTGAATATACGACAACACCACCAACAACAACATTAACAAAGCCTTAGTTCCAAAATGGTTTTGGGTCGGCTAACATAAATCGTCATAAAGAATTGTCCGAAAAGGAAAGAGCATAGCAAGATAATTGATAGACGCAAAGAAAAAAGACCAAAATAACAATAATAATGCATAATTAAATAACAATACAAGGAAACAAGGTATTATAAAGCCGTTTGTAACAAGCACAATTATACATATAGACCTACCTTCAAGCAATATATATATATATATATAATATATATAAGAAGAAAAATAAAAAGAGGTAAAAATACAATGGGGAAATTCTACATGGTGGCCCCAATGGAATTGCAAATTCTATTTAGAGGAAACTTTTTATTTTTTATTTTGACTTTCTCGAGTAACATAATCAATTAATGCCCTTATTGGTGTTTAGTCCTAACCCTTATGTTATTGGTTATCCTTTATCTTAGATAGTTTAATTTACTAATCTATCCTTCTATTTAATTCAGCGAACCCCCCATCTCCCCATGACCATACACCAACCTGAACCCTGCCATGACTAGCCAAAGCCGACCAAACAAAATGTCAGATTCCGCTATCCACCCACCAAAATCCACCACCTAACCACTAAAAATAAAAAAAAAATAAAAAAAAAAATAAAAAAAAAAAAAAAAACCTCATATCCACTAAAAACCATCCCTCACCTCCAAAAGCTTTTCCCAACCTTCAAAACCATCACCCATCATTTAAAACCACCATTGGCATAGAAAAATACCACCTAAGTCTAACCCACTGAAACGAAAGCCTCCTTGACCTTCATTCCCATCTATATTCTCTTTCCTTCCTTGAAGGGTGGTTAGGTTGCTGGTATGGCCATCCGATATAGCTGGTGGATGGGGTGGTGTGTTTAAGTAGAGGGCAACATGGTTGGTGGTTGTTAGAGAGAAGAATACCATTGAAGCCTAAGTTAGCCATCTTAATGGCAACTGGCGAGCTCTAGTTAAATATGCAAAGAAGTCACTTGAGAAAATGGCCAAAAAATATCCATCAAGAGGAATTTGCAATAACATGAGGCCACCATTCCAAAAAAAAAAAATGCTTAGATTTATATTAATTTAGGAGGAAAAGGTGGAAATAAAAAATGAAAACAATAGATTTGATTATAGTTTAAGTAAATAGGGATTCCTTGATTATGATTTCACAAACACTACATTCTAGTTTCCAATTAGATTCTTTGTTACCGAGACTCTACATTTCACCTAAAGTACCCGTGCTCTAGTACCTGTGTCATCTTCAATTTAAGTTCAAATTCATTGAATTTTTCACAAAATAGCCACGTCGGACCCTTGGATACGTATTCGTGCCCATCATGGGTACCCTTGTCCAAGTAACATAGATAAGATTTTACATATTAGACCACTAACTAGGGACTTGTTCTAGGGTACCCTTGTCCAAGCATCAATAATGGTTTATAACTAGGGACTTGTTCTTGCAAATTTCACACGTCTCTAACTAAAATTAGCTTGGGCAAGTTAATTGCTTGAGAAAAAATTGCCAAAAGATGAGGAATTGGTACATTAATGAAATTTCCTTCTATTAGCTAATTTAAACAACTAGCCAGTAGTTGACCATTGGGACACAAACTAGCTACAAAGGAGTTAAGTTAGAAATCTTGCGTGGCATGGCAAGCTAATTTAACAATTAGCTTAGCATTGGTAATGCTCTGATACAATATAAAAATTAGAGTGGAAAAGATTTGCAAGAATGCACATTTGCATCAAATCAATAATCATATAAAGTATAATTAGATCACAAATGAACATAACCAATGATCAGGGAACACTACCCCGTATTTTCCAACCTGCTGCAGCAAACCAAAGAAAGGACCATCCCATTTTCGAGAAAAGTTGACTTCTATGTCAACTTTCTAAAAGACAAAGAATGCCCAAACTTTAATCCATATAAATTCTTCATATCCATGATGTTGGAAAAATATAATTACCTTAATGAGAGTGGAGGAGTTAATCTTATGATTGTGTTGTGGGTAGGCTTAGCAAGAACACCTCTCTCCTTTAACTTGAGGCATATATCATAAGCTGATGCAGGGAACAGAGCTTTGCTATTGAGTTCTACTGCGTTAAAAAGACCTTTGCCACGCACTTTTACAATGAAGTTAGGGTACTGCTGCTGAAGCTTATTCAGCAATTGCCTAAGCTCCTCTCCTAACTCTGCAGACCTATATCAAGAAAATGCATTTTAAAACAATCTACAATTGCTTCAGATGAAAACACTAAGAATAAAACAATTTGTTAAAGACATTAGTGACAGCATATTATCTCGATGACTAACTTAGTCCATGTAAAGGATATAAATTTTGCCATTCCAAACCACTATGCTGAAATATTTTGCTAATAGCAAGTTTTAAAGTCTTTCGAATATAGGAGATCTTCAGTGTTAGGTTGTCTTTGAAAAATACTCTGAGACATCATGTTGCAGAAATTTTCTTAAGTGGACCACCTTAAAAAGTTGCACACTTTAGCAAACCACCTTGGCATTCCAGCTTCCTAAATTACAAGTTATGGTTGCATTTATAAGGAATAAAAAAACACCTTCTTATTGTTCAAAGATGAATATATTTTATTACAGATAACCACCCATAAATGTGTTGAAAGTCACCAAACTTCAATTTAAAAAACACTAAAATTAGTTTACTATATAATTAACGTTTAGTGAGGGTTTGGAAATGAGAAGAATTTTCATACTCATATTTAGCAAATTCGATAATATAATTGCAATGTAATGTTTTCAATGTATAAGGCAGAAGAAAAAGAAGAATAAGAGAGAAAATAAAAAAATTTAAAAAAAGAAAGAAAGGAGATACAAGGATTAGAAAAGTTATTATGATTTGGGATTATAACCCATATTTCTTTTTCCTTGATAATATAATCCTTATAATTATTTAAGTTACCAATTTGTAAATTGTAAATCCTACATTTGGTATCACAACAACGTTATTTTCTCAATAAAAATGTCTACTAACTTTGTTCAGCCACAAGTGCCCAAATTATCAAAGACCAATATGAAGATGGGTGCATTAAAACAAAAGCACTATTTAGTTCCAAAATTTGTGGAAAATTGTAAATGATGGGTTTGAAAAACCATCATATGAGGCAAAAGTGGCATTAACTCAAAATTAGAAAGATGAATTGAAAGAAAATCAGAAAAAAGATCAAAGGGCATTACTTTTGATCTACGCAGGTATAGATTGCGAAACATATGTGAAGATCTCCAATGCAACCACAAGCAAGGAAGCTAGGGACAATCTTGCAACTATATTTAAAGGAGTCGAAAGAGTTCGAAAAATTCGTGTACAAGCCTACAATGTGAGTTTAAGGAAATCAAAATGACTATTTTTCTTGCCTACTAACAAATGTTAACCAACAGAAATTAAATGAAGAAAAGATTGAAGACACATGGATCGTTGAAAATGTACTTCGATCATGCACTAAAATAATTAATCATGTATTACCTGCAATAAAAGAATCAAAAGATATTGACACATTATCTATAGAACTTATGGGATCCCTGCTGGTGCATGAACAAATAAGTCTGAAGAATGATGAACCAGGTGTTATAGAGCAAACAATTGAATCAAAGTTGTCATTAGATGAAAGAAAAGGTGGAAATCGACGAGGCGGTTTTTATGGACTAGGTTGAGTTTGTGGTAACTACCAACCTAGCAACCAAAGTAATGAGATTTTGGCCATGGAAGAGGGTCAGACAGAGGGGGAATCAATTTAATGAACGTGATAAGACAAAAGTCGTTCAACGCTTTAATTGTAAAAAATAGACATTGCATCCGAGCAAAAAACAAAATGATAAAGGAAATCGATTGCAGTTTGTTGAAGATTCAAGAAACAATTAGAAAAGTTTGTTGCTAGCCCATGAAGAAGTTATTAATCAACAAGACATGGTTTTTCGATTCTGGAGCTATTAACCACATGTGTGGTAGAAGAGATTTATTTATTGATCCTGAGAAAATCAAAGGTAATGTAAGTTCGGGAGATTCGTCCAAACTACAGGTTGAAGAAAATGGGGAAAATTCAAAATTTTCTCAAGCATAGAAATGAAGAATTAATTTATGATGTTTATTACGTGCCTAATATGAAAGGTAACAACCTTAGTATTGGGCAACTTTTGAAAAAAGGATATATCATTCATTTGGAGAGTAATAATCATCAACTTAAAGATAATATTGGAAGTATTATAGTTCAATCAAAAATGGCGAAAATGTTTCCGCTACAACTTAACACCGAAGTACAAAAGTGCTTCTACATTTTTACAAAGAATGAGTCATGGAAATGACATAAACTTTCGAAGCATTTGCATTACAACGGCCTATAACTGTTACAATCAAAGAACATGGTGCATGGGTTGCCTACCATTGAAGATCCTAAACAAGTTTGTGGAATATGTACGATAGGAAAACAAGCAAGACTAAGGAATCATCATGGAGAGCGAAAGAACCATTGGAATTGTACACATGGACCATTGGAGCCAGTATAATCGCTACTTTATTTTATTCATTGATTATTATAGTAGGAAATTATGGGTGCATATGCTAAAGCTGCATTTGATACATTAGTGCAATTTAAGGCTCGGGTAGAACTAGAAAGTGGACGTAAGTTGGGAAACACTTAGGTCTGATGGAGGGGTGAATATACATCAAATATATTAAAAAATTTCTGCAGATTTGCCGGAATTAGACAACAATATACAGCCTCCTATACACCACAACATAATGGAATTGCTGAATGGAAGAATCGAACAATTTTAGACATGGTACAAAGCATTTTAAAAGAAAAAGGATTACTAAAGCAATTAAGTTGTTGCATGGACAACATGTATTCTAAATCGTTGTCCTACAAAGAGTGTAACGAATATGACTCCACAAGAAGCGTGGAGTGGTGAGAAGCCAAATGTTGAAAAATAAATACCCGAAGCAAAGAGGAAAAATTTAGATGATTGAGGTGAAAAATGTATCTTCATTTGACACAGTTCACAATCAATCTTTAACTTATAAGTTATACAATCCAATCAGTGGAAAGTTGATTGAAAGTATGGATGTAATCTTTAGTGAAGGAGAATCTTGGAAATGAGATAATCAAGAAAAGATAAAATAAAAATTTGTGTTTGAAAAACATAATGATATTTCGGGGATGACTTCTGAAAAAACACATCCAAAGATTCCAAGAAATAACAATAAATCATCATCATCACCATAATCGGATAGTGTCATCATCGAAAACACATGTTAAGATGAGAAGCCTAAATGACATCTATGAAAAGACAACTGAAGTTGAGGTTGTTGATTTAATTTTTTTATATTTAGACCATGAACCCATCAATTTTGAAGAAGTTGTTGGAGAAGTAAAATGGATATCTGCTATGAAAGAAGAAATCAACTAAATAAAGAAAAATGATACATGGGAGTTGGCTACGTTGCCAAAGGGCCAAAAGGCAATAGGTATAAAATGGGTTTACTAGATCAAAAGAGGTGTAGATGGAAGTATTGATAGCTACAAGGCAAGACCTGTGGCAAAAGGATACAAACAATATTATGGTGTTGATTAAGATGAAGTATTTGCTCATGTAGCTCGTTTAGACATTATGAGAATGATGATCTCACTTGCCACGCATCATAAATGGAAGATATATCAACTTGGTGTTAAGTTGTTATTTTTAAATGGCATTTTAGAAGAAGTTTATGTTGAACATCCAAAAGGTTTTATGATCAAGGGAGAAGATAAAGTGCTCCATTTAAAAAAAGGTACTTTATGGTTTAAAGCAAGCCTCATCAGCTTGTGGAATACACATTGATGGATACTCAATAAAAAATGGTTTTATAAGTGTCCATACAAACACGTTGTCTATGTGAAGAAGAATGGTGATAATGTTCTTATAGCAAGCTTATATGTTGACAATCTATTGTTCATTAGGAACAACAAAATTATGTTTGATGATTTCAAGGTAGCAATGTTTAAACAGTTGAGATGACTAATTGTGGCATAATGAACTTCTTTCTTGGCATAGAGGTGAAGTAATGTGAAAATGGAATCTTTATTCCACACAAGAAATATGCAAAGGAGATTCTTGAAATGGATACATGCAAACCTTTGAACACTTCTGTTGTAATAATGTTAAAGTTCACAAAAGTAGGAGAAGGGAAATTCATTGATCTAACTTTATACAAGAGTTAGTTGGGAGTTTATGATATTAAACCATCACCTATTGTATGTGGTGTCAGGCTTGTAAGTAGATATATGGAGACACCTAAGGAATTTCATTGGTGCACTCTAAAGAGAATAGTAAGTTATATTCAAGGTACCTTAGATTATGGAATGTTCTATTCTGATGGAGATGAAGCAACATTATGTGGTTATTTTGATAGCGATTAGGATGGAGATCAAGATCAGAGAAAAAGTAAAACAGGATGCGTTTTATCAAGATTCCATTGCTTTTACTTCGAACCAGTAGTTGCTTTACCAAGTTATGAAGCAGAATAAATAGCATCTTCATTTGCAGTATGTGAAGCATTATGGTTAAAGAATTTATCGAAAGAACTTGGACATGTTTAAGGACCTACTATGATCTATGTGGATAACATATCAGCAATAAAACTTGCCAAAAATCCAATACAACATGGGAGAAGCAAGCATATTGATACTCGGTTTCATTTCCTACGAGATCAAGTCAAGCAAAGAACAATTGCACTCATATGAAACATTCAGAAAATTAAGGGAATTAATTGGAATGAAAATTAAAGTTTGAGAAGGTGTAGATAGTCACCAAACTTTAATTTAGAAAACACTAAAATTAGTTTACTTAAATTAAATGTTTGTTAAAATTAGTGTGAGGTCAGAAATGAGAATTACTTTCATCATGTTGAGCAAATCAAATAATATATTTGCAATGTTTTGTTTTCAATGTGTAAGGCAGCAGAAAAACAAGAATAAGAGAGAAAAAGAAAAGAGATATAAGGATTAGAAATGTCATTTGTGAAAAAATATATAGAAGTGTAATTTTTTGATTTTGGGTTGTAACCCATATTTCTTTCTCGATAATAATCCTTATAATTATTTGAGTTACCAAATTGTAAATTGTAACTCCTACATTTGGTATCACAGCAACGATATTTTCTCAATAAAAATGACTACTAACTTTGTTCGGCCATAA